TCAAGTGTCTGTTCATTTTTAAACAAATCAATACAAGGGGGGTTGAATCCTACATGTAAAAGACAGAACCACTTATTACTTTTCAAAACTACTTCCGTCAGTGGTCTTGACCAGTTTGCATTTATAAAGAATGCACAAATATGTTTAATCGTTAATGTCAGATGTACTAAGTAAATATATTTGTTCCTGCTCAAGATGAGATTCAACTTTATTGTTATTGCACAGATTACAGGTACTGGGACAACGAAATGCAGTTTAGCTTCCAACCAGGAGTGCAAAAAGCAGTAAAGTGAAAAGTAATGTACCCAATCTACAGAATAAAATATAGAATTAATTGAATGATGAATAAACAGTGAGGGGTATGAATGAATACACTAGATATACACAGTAGCAGTATGAACAGTATTAACAGTGTGTATGAATATGCTAAGACATATAAAGTATGAAAACGGTAAGCAGTGCAAGTATAGTATAACATATATAGATATTAATTTCATGATGATAAACATTGTGGAACAATGATGAAAAATGTGAATGGAAGTGGCGAAAAAACTGACACTAAACAACAACAAACTTTTGCGGAGCCAATTGGAGAGTTTCATCACCAGCACGCGGTAAAAACCACCAATGAGCGCTCAGCTCGATATACCAGCGAGTCGTTTCCCATCAAGCATTTCGCTTCTGCAGCTCGTGGAGAGAAACTGCTCCGCCTCGCTCTCAAGGCTGCCGGCGTCTTTGTCCCGCGAGATTTCAACGTCTCATGTAGTCGAGCCTCCAGAGCAGGGGTGGGCAATTATTTTTTCCATGGGGCCACATGAGAAACTGAAAATATTGTGGAGGGCCGGGCCAAAAGGCTGAACTCAATTCTGCATAATATTAATTGTATTTCTTTATAAAAAGCAGTAAATAGCATTGTTTTGACAAGCTGGTAAGAGTATATGTTATAGTTAAGCAATGAAAAAGTGAGGTTGCCTTACAAAAAAATGTCATTTATTAAATCAAATTTCCCAAAACAATGGTAAACAAAATGAACGTTTTTCACCATTTGTGACTCATATTAGTGAACATTTTCAGTCACATTCACTCAAACACATTTTGAGTTTCATTTACTGTTGGAAAGAGGTTCTTAGCATTCTAAAGACATCACAATATTGTCTTTGTACTCCAAATATTAAGCAAGATACATCATATTGAACTGTCACTAAACATCACTGAACTGTGATTTTGAGAAAAAGGCTTCCAAAGAAAGTGTCCCAGTTCACTGCTAGTTGGTGCCTTTACATGCCAACATTTGTAGTCTAACCACCTCATTTGGTGTTTTTAAGTTCTCTTTTCTTGTTCAGTGAGAGAAATCTAGTCTCTGCTGGGCTTTAACGAGTGCATCAAAGTCAGGTTGAATGTCTGAGGTGGAGATGCGAAGCACAGCTGACAGATGATCATCAGTGAGAGAGGATCTATACCTGGATTTCGTAAACTTCATAATTGAAAATGTTTGTTCACATATGTATGCGTGTCCATGCACTCGTTTACCTCCGTGAACAGATCGCTCCCTGTCGTCGTCCCTTTCATCGACCGCATTGCTGCCAGCTCCTCCGTAATCTTGAAGTCCGGTGTTATCCCGCGGACGAATACGAGTAACTGGGCTGTGTCGCGGACATCACAGCTCTCGTCCAAAGCCAAGGAGAAAAAGTCGTAACTTGCCACTTCACGTTGCAGCTGAAGCTCCAGATTCCCCGCAATGTCCTCGATCCTTCTAGTCACGGTTCGCCTGGACAGCGGGACTTGCTCAAATGCGGCTTTTTTTTCAGGGCATATTAGTGCTGCAGAGTCCACCAAGCACTCTTTGACAAACTCCCCCTCCGAGAACGGCTTACTGTTTTTAGCAATTTTGTGGGATATCACAAAGCTGGTCATGGTTGCTGCATCACTGGATGTGTGAAGCTTGGTAAAAAAGCCTTGCTGCTTTTGCAGCTTAGCTAGCAAAGCTTCCGATGTCCGCGCCCTTTCAGCGTCAGTCAAGTTTTTATATTTCTCCGCGTGTTTCGTCTCGTAATGTCGACTCACATTGTACTCCTTAAACACGGCGATCTGCTCCCCGCAAACTAAACACACGGTTTTACCTCCGACTTCAGTAAATAAATACTTAGCAGTCCAATTTTTGTTGAAAACCCTGCATTCAGCATCTACCTTTCTTTTTTTAGCGGACATTTTTTTGAGGGCTAAAGTCGTCTTGTGACAAGGATCCAATAATGTGCACGTCTTGATATACGTATTGCGTCATTATGCACGTGAATAAAAAACAACTTCAAAATAAAAGCAATGCAGCTTTAGTCCATGCATGAGGTAAAGTTAGAAAATATGTTTATTTTGTAATTTCCAATTAGCCTTACACGGGCCGGTCAGAGTCAACCAAAGGGCCGTATGTGGCCCGGGGGCCGTACGATGCCCAGGTCTGCTCCAGAGCAAGCCAGACAAAATGACTAACCATCATGCAACGCACTAGCAAGACGGCGATCGCAATTGCGCAGATCTGCGTCGGTCTAGCTCATCTCAAACAAGCCTATTGACTACCCTCACTATCACCACAATGAAACACGTCCAGAAGAATGTCATGCAAAGCTGCCTGCCTGCCTTCGATTCTCCCTGAACTGCCTGATCTTTTTAATGTTCAATGTTAACCATTTGTGCAGATAGCATGAAGTAGAAAAGATCGCCGATGCTAATGTAGCGTCAGCGTTAGCATTTCTCCCCCGGGGGCATCCGGGCTTAAACTGTGTATTATAGAATGTTCACACCGGTGTGACAGTACTCTTCAAAGGGTTCACGAAATATGACTACTACTCTTACTGTTTAACATTTTGGGTTACTTAATGTTACTTCATGTTAAAGCTAATAAAAATGACATGGCTAAGGCTGTAATGCTAACTAACGTGCTTGCTACTGGCTAGGTAGCTAACTTGATCCAGCCACTCCTGGTCCTTTCATCAGACGGGAAGCGAAAGAACGAGCAAGACCCATTGCTGGTATGATTACAACCTGGTACTAAGCACACAGACATCTTGTTAAAGTTATCTTATCTTAGCTATCTCTTATATTTAGTGGAGGAAAATAATTATGACATCAGTTATGACATCACTTACGCGACTCTGGGATTTGTAGTCTTTCTAGTTGCGTATTTTTCATAGTCTTATATTTCAACAGTTTTACGACAAACTGTGACTTTTTTGACATGGAAATTATTTTTTAAGATTGACAAACATCATATGTGTAATTCATGGCACAATTCAAACGGGATCGAAAGATAAGTTTTCTCTCCACATTGACTTCAATACATAATGTTTCCGAAATAAGGTCCCATGAGGTCGGAAGTAGATGGGCGGGACTTCACCTCTCTATAGCCCTCTGTGAATGTACAGCAGGACCACCAATCAGCTCCTGTCTTCACAGTAACTCGCAGAGACGGCTAAAGGAGCTTCTTTCATTTAACCCTTCACATTCAAACAGAAACTGAATAGGCAGATTCGAAGGATTTATTTCTTTGGAAATGTTATTTTAAATAGAATTAAATCAAGTTATTTTGGTAAAATTAATTAAAAACATAATTAAAAAAATATATCAAAAAAAATAATATATTTTTTAAATGTTTTTAAATATTATTTTGTAGAATATCTTAGGGTGGGGTTTAACTGGTTAAGGGGTGTTTTTTTAGTCAAAAACAAAATATTGTCTCACTTTTCTCAAGAAGTGATCTGAAATATACATAGTGTATCCATTATTACTATGCAAGGAGACAATTTCACTAGAGGACCACAAGTGTCTTAAAAAACAATACAAATAAATGTCATACTTTGAAAAATAATTGAACAATAAAAACTGAATTTGAACCAAAATAATTTACCAAAAATCCATAGATTTCTTGAATTAAATAATAAAAAAAGTCATATACAGTAAATACTGAACGAAAATAAGGATACAATGGGTATCCATGTGCCTGATTCAAACCTGAGCCTTCAATTTTATTTTTGAGTTTTAGTAATTTTGATTGACCTTTTAAAACTATACTTTTTTATTTAAGTAGTCATTAACCTATTAAAGGTCCCATGTCATGCTTTTCCGGTTATTACCCGTCCCCTTGTGTGTTATGAAGGTTTTTATGCATGTAAACGGTCTGCAAAGTCACAAACCCTCAAAGTACACCCTGTAGCGAATAAAACTCTTAACACAGAAAATACCTGTCTATGCTGCCCCAGAACGCCTCCAAATGGACCAATCCGTGGAGCCGTTACGTTACCTCCGCGGAGCCGTTACGTTAAGTCTATGGATTGGTCCAAATTGACCAATCCGCGGACTTCCTCACACACACACACTCAATCTTTTCTCAGCTGCAGCTCCGCCGATTTCTCCTCCCTGAGACGGCGGGACGCGGCGAGGCTGTGAGTCGGTGTGTGAGCACACACACAAACTCCCAGCCAGGCTGCGGGTGTGTGTTCGGGCTGGGTTTCGCTGTGTCTCGCTGTCTCGCAGACGGCCACTGGGCTCATAGGGAGGGGGGGGCAGGAGCTCCAACAAGCCGTTTAGGACAGAGAGTGAATACACATACTATACAGAGATGCTGTATGAGAAACCAATGCAATTTTGGAAAATTGCACAATATAAATCTATTCTAGTATACCTCAACAATGGAATTATGATCAGTAGAAATGGCCATGACATGGGACCTTTAAGAAAATGTTATTAAACCGTCAAAATTGTAAATGTCAGTTCTCATTTGATCAAAGGACTCAACACTTAAGACAAAAGTTTTAGTCAATTTATTTCTTTTTTGAAACTACACTTTTTTATTTAAGTCACATATTTGGAAAAAATGTAGTAAACTGTCAAAACTGTAAATGTCAGTTCTCATTTGATCAGATAACTCAACACTTAAGTTGCTCTCTTACTTTATTTGTTAAATATATTCCTGAGGTGTTTGATGTACTCACAGTGAGTGTCCTCCTCAGATCCCCGGGGCAGCGATGGACCGAGTCAGCCTGCTGTGGCGCATGAGGCGTCGGGCTCGTCGTGGAGTTCTCTGCATGGCCTTCTTCTGCATCTCCATGGCTCTGCTTTACGCCATCTGTGCAGAGAACAGCGTCCCTGTCACCGACGCCATCTTCGGGGTCCGAGCACGAACCCGGGCTCAGCCTCGAGCACACTCGGTTATCAAGGTCAGTCACAAAGTTTCACTGACATGTTCAACTCATAATCATCGGCCAAAACTCACTTACCCGCTCAACCCAGGATATTTCACTTACCATCGACGGCTGCATTCAAACAATCCCTCAAAACTCACCGTTTCACTCTTGCCTTCAACTCCTAATCCACTAACCCCTCGCCCTTATTCCACCTAGCTTAGCACTTTTTACTTTTGTTGTTATTTTTCTTCTTTACTTGCTTGTAAAGCGCTTTGAGCACAAGGAAAAGCGCTATATAAATCAAATGTATTATTATTATTATGTTGGGTATTAAAACAAGCTGATGAAAGCTGAATTGTGTAACCCAAAGAGTGGTTTCAGATCATTCAATTTATTTTTTTGGTACATTTTAAGAAATGATGTGCTTACAGGGCATACACAACAACATGAATATGTAGTAAAATACATTAACCATCCACAAATAAGAAAAAGAGATAACATAATATATATTAAATACATACATTGTGACATCTAAGCAGAGGGCCATTAGTAATGTTTTGTGTTGTATACCTCACATTATTTTACTTCTAGTCTTAGAGCTAGTGTGATTTCCACTTTATGAATACGGCCCCTAGATGTTTCACTGACAGGTTTTTAAAATGTTTTCCCTGTGACTCCCTCAGGTTCTGCGAGGCGGAGCTAAGCCGATGTACATCGACCCCCAGAAGATGCCAGGGGTCGTCCCAGGTGACCCTCACCGTCCAATCCCTGTCCTCTCCTCTCCGAACCAAACCCACGAAGCCGTAGACTCGTCGCCAAAGAGGAAGCCCAAAGAGCGGGACAACTCCGGGTTCTTCTCTCGCCTGCTGCCGCGCCCTTTAACACGTGCGCTGGAAACCCTGTTTGGAGGCCGGCGTAGGGGCGAGCTGAGTGGCAAAGGGGGGGACGCCGAGTTTTTTGGGCCTCATGGGCTTCTGGGAGAGGTGTGGGACGACGAGATGTCCAGTAACATGCTCGGGAGCAGACTGAGAAAGGTGGTGCAGAATTATCAGGTAAGACTTTATTATTTACTGGAAGTCTTAATGCTGTAACATTTTGAGAACAACATTATCTGGTTTGCTTACTGCACATATTTTATATATTATTGCATTCTATTTCAATGTAAATACTGCTTTATTTTATATTTAATTTTACGATATATATTTTGTTATGTTATTATAGTGTTCTTAAAATAGTTCGCTATCTGTGTTTTTACATTTTTGCTTTTATGCACCATGACTTTTATGTATGCACCATGACACCACGTCAAATTCCTCGTACGTGTCAACCTACCTGGTAATAAACCTGTTTCTGTTTCTGATTCTGATTCAGAACAAACATTTTGATATCCTACTTTTTTCACAATTGATCTATTTGAGTTAGTATTGGCTTTAATATGCAAGATCGGTACATCTCTACTTTTAGGTTCTCTAATGATTGTTCTGTTCAAGTTCACTTCAGACACTTCCTCCTGTGACATAAAGCACTTAATGTTCAATCTGTAAATGAGCTCTCTAGAGAAATTTCAAATGTCAGAATGTAACAAACTCCACTTGAACATTAGCGGTAGGGATCCTCTTTGTAATTAGCCCCACATAATTGGTCTTTGATTTGTCTTTTCTGACAGGCGACGAATAAGTACGGAGTGGAGTTCTCCGGTCCTGGCGGTGTGTCCAGCCGGCCCAAGCTGAGCGGTCCTAAACTTCTCTGCCAAATGAAGGAAAACGTAGAGGTGGAGACGTTGACCTCTGACCTCCAGCCCTTCTCATCTCTGCCCTGGGCCTCCCAGCTGCCAATTAGTCAGCTGACCTCTGACCTTGGGCCGTACAGGACCTGCGCTGTGGTGTCGTCTGCAGGGTCGCTGCGCTACTCAGGACTTGGCAAAGAGATAGGCGAGATATTTTTTTTATCATCATTCTGTTTATTGTATTAAAGGTCCCCTATTATACTGTTTTTCATCAATATATTATAGGTCTCAGATATATACAGAACATGTCTCTGAAGTGTTTGGCTCCAAACACCAAACAGATCATTGCAGCATCCCATAATCCCCTCTTTTTCAGCCCTGTTTCCAAAGTGCTGATTCTCTGTCTGTTACTTTAGATGAAAATAAGGAGCCCCTCCCCACGCCCCTCTGAGAGATATTTGGTTAAAAAGAACTCAATGGTGCTCTAGGAGGAGATTCAGGTGATAAGGTGGGGGGGGGGGTTACCTTGGTTGGTGATTGGCTAATGGTTACACAAACCAAAAAATCGTTATGACATCATAATGTGGCCGAAATCTGATCAGCTCATTTTCAGACAGGTTTTTATATAAATGGATCAGGACAAAAAGAGAGAGAATCTCTGTACACAGAGGGGACACATGTTTATGTATAAAAGACATGAAAAAGTGGATTTTGCATAATAGGTGACCTTTAAAATATTTGACTCCAATTACCAACATCTGGACGTCTGCACTTTCTTGTGTTCAACAAACCTTCAAAGTAATTTACAGACGTCGAATCAGAAAACACGTGTTAATCAAGTTCAACTTCTTCTAAAAAGGTTATTTGTTAAATTACAGACTCCCATGATGCAGTGCTACGCTTCAACGCCGCCCCGACCACCGGCTTCGAGAAGGATGTCGGTTCAAAAACCACAATCCGCCTAATCAACTCCCAGGTAAACACACTGACACGCTCAAAACATACAGTTACTGAAAGGGTGTGCTTTAGAAATGGATATAATGCTTTTGTTTGTGTTAAAAGGTGATGGCGTCTGATGACCACCGTTTCCTATCCAGCTCTCTGTACAGCTCAGGTGCTCTGGTGGCCTGGGATCCCGCCCCCTTCTCTGCTGACCTCTCTCAGGTTTGTTTTCATACAAGTAATTACCTGTGCTGACCACAGGTAATGCTGCATTCACGACATGTTGAAAAAACATCCCTTAACTCTAAGAAGAAGTCCTTTTTTCGACTTTGAATGTCATAATTCACCACATGCAGTGTTTTTTGCCTCAACTTTCCCTTGTCCTCTTACTCTCACATTATCTGTAACTACCAGTTGTGTACAGAAACCAAAATTGAAACCTACAGTGCAATTCACTTTTCTCCAGGCTACCAAAATCAATCATGACCAAACTACAACTGGTTCAAAACACAGCTGCTAGAATATTAACCAGAACCAGAAAATGTGATCATATCACCCCTATTCTCATTTCATTGCATTGGCTCCCGATTCACATAAGATCTGACTTGAAGATGTTACTATTAACCTTTAAAATCTTACATGGACTAGCACCTCCATATCTGTCTTCATTAATTACCCCACAAATATCTACCAGGCTCCCACGATCACATAATGCAAGTCTCCTTTCCATCCCCAGAATTCACAAATCATCCGTAGGTGGCAGAGCCTTTTCATTCAGAGCACCTCTCCTTTGGAATCGTCTTCCATTTCAGATCCACAAAGCTATTTCCGTTGATTCCTTTAAAAGCAAACTCAAAACCCATCTCTTCGCATCTGTCTTCCTTGTAAACTAGCTTCCATCACCTAGTTTCGGCTCATCATTACCATCACTTCAGTCACATGCTTTTATCACATGGCAATACTTATATTGTTGTATTATGTTGTATAATGTTCTTATCATTTTTATGCTATGACGTTTGTATTTTGTTTTTGTCTTTGCTTTCGTTTGCTTTGTACAGACCTTTGAGGCATTTCTTGTGATTTGGGGCTATACAAAATGTTGATTTGATTAATGCTGCATTCACGACATGTTGAAAGAACTTCCCTTACTGTAACTCTACGAACAAGTTCTATTTCTGACTTGGAATGTCCTAATTCACCACATGCAGTGTTTTTTCCTCAACTTTCTCTTCCTCTTACTCTCACATTATCTGTAACTACCAGTTGTGTACAGAAATCAAAATGGAAACCTACAGTGCATTGTTTTCAAAGTAAATACACTTTAATAGTTCTATATCTCCCCCCTTATAGTGGTACAACAGAACAGACTACCCCATCTTCACCCAGTACCAGAGATACAGGAGGCTTCATCCGATGCAGCCCTTCTACATCCTGCATCCTCGCTTCGAGTGGCAGGTCTGGCAACGTATTCAAGACAACATGGCTGAGCCCATCCAGAGAAACCCGCCCTCCTCCGGCCTGCTTGGTATGCAAAACCTTATCTGAAAAACCTGTGCACGTGAATGAAAGTTCAGTAGAGTTTAGTAGAAATGCTGTAGAGTCTGCTAAACAAATTACAGCTCACTTCCAAAAAGAAATGCTGTAAGAGTGTGGCGGGAACCAATATAAAGAAACAAATGCTATATAATGTTAGTTTGGTTATAATAAGTAATATTATTTGACTATATATATATGTTTATAAGCTGAAGACCAGAGGTAAGTACTCAGATCTTGTACTTAAGTAAAAGTAGAAGTACCGGAGTGTAGGAATACTCTGTTACAAGTAAAAGTCCTGCATTCAAAATGTGACCCAAGTAAAAGTACAAAAGTATTGACATCAAAATATAGTTATTTGATTTGATTTATTTCAAATGTGTTGTTACGACCCGTCCTCTACCAAGTGGTAGTGGCTCGTGGGAAGACCCGCAACATAAAATAAATCACACAAAACACGCAGCACTTATCAGCGAGCATTTATTAAAGAGCACAGCCGTTACTTACATGGGCCCACCGGCAAATGAACCACGTCTGGAGGACGGCAAAAACAAACAAAAGGAAGAAGGGGGCCTGGGCCAGCCAGTCCACTGGCCGTAGGACCCAGAACTTCCCTCCTCTACCCAGAGATCGAACAGAAAAAACCCTACGGGAAAAATAAAGCCACGAAAAAAACGATACTAACAGGTCCTCCAGAGTTCACACATTAAATAGCAACAACAGGAATCTACAGATCCAAACGGCATGAGAGAGATTGTTCCCGGACGGAGTCTTCCGGCATAAGGATAGGGAGACCGCTCTTCTCCTCCAGCTTCTCCTTTCAAGTCCCCAGCTGAATGGAATTAGGACACCTGGGGGAGGCGGAGCCAGGGGCGGACCAGGTGTACCTGCGCAGCAGAGAGACAGAGAAGACAACAGAAAAGGGAGCACGTAACATGTGTAAAACAATAATACAAACATTTAACATGAGAATTATTATACAATACAAAATTAAGCAGTGTCAAATTGATATACAAAAATATTACTGATTCTAAATTATGTATAAACAAATAATCTACTTGATTACACATCCGAAAAGGCGATGGGAAGAAGTTTACATTTATTTAATCTAGGGCTGCTCGATTATGGCAAAAATCATAATCTCGATTACCGTAATTTTCGGACTATAAACCGCGACTTTTTTCCCATTTTTCGACCCTGCGGCTTATATAACGGTGCGGCTAATCTATGGATTTTTACAGCTTCGACGACTTGCTCTGAAAACACGGAGGAGCAAAACAACAAACGAGTGAAACAAAGCGTATATTAAAGCCCGGGAAATATACCCGTTTTGACGCTGTTTCAGGAGCGCCTCTAACATTGTTTTGAAGGCCTGTTGCTAGCGGGGGATGCTAGCGGGGGATCCTCGGGCTAGCCCTGTAGACCCCGGGCCCAGAGAGCGCAAGGGACCGGGACAGGAGCTCCGCGGGATAACGACCAGGTTTGACTGACCCTGCCAGTCCTATCTTATAACACAAAGAAGACGTAACCTCTCCTAAGTTTGAAAGTTGAAAAGTTTGTGTGTCTGAAACGCTATGTGATACAGTACAGTTTACACAGCACAGTACATGTTCTGTAGCTACTATTGCACTAAATGGTAACACTTGAATACGTTATGCAAATATGCAACTTGTTTGTTGAAATGTTAATAAATGGGAGCTTCCTCAAACAGCCATCTCTTTCCCGACAATCCCCTCTGTACACGAACCGGCAAGACGTGCTTAGGTGGCATAGAGTGACAGCCAATGCGCGACGTGCTTAGGTGGCATAGTGACAGCCAATGCGAGACGTGCTTAGGACAGCCAATAAAATTGCAGCATTACTGAAGCTGTGAACCGCCGTCTTAGCCAGCTGAGATTTCTTCTGTTCGCAGGTTCGACACCCGGTTGGGGCAAAGTCTGTGATACATTATCAAAGATAAAGAGCTATCTATGAATCAAGAAATGTGAATCCTAATGTGTTATAGTAACTGTTATTGTGTTTATATTTATTTATTACCTTCAAAAGAAAAACTCAGAAGGTATTATTTATATTTAAGATATGGACCATGTAGTATAAATCATTTACTTATGAATGAGACATGTATATATTAATCAAGAAAACATCTTATCCTAATGTGTTATAGTAACTGTTATTGTGTTTATATTTATTTAAATATAAAGAAAAACTCAGAAGGTATTATTTATATTTAAGATATGGACCATGTAGTATAAATCATTTACTTATGAATGAGACATGTAGATATGAATCAAGAAAACATCTTTATTATAAACAACAGAAAGGATGACAATTTGGCATTAACAGACACACAGGAGGCAGTCTGTCAGGTAGTGTGCAGACACAGAGATCCCGTTCCAGCCATCAGAGTCCCCATACTCTCCAAAGGGAGACAATTGCCGAAGGAACTGGGTAATTGTCTTCTGGTCGTACTTTCCTTCCTCACCATCCATGATGTTCTTACAGCTGAGGAGGTACGCCAGGTCAGCCCGTTCATATTTCAGGTGCATCATCTCCGTGATCTGCTTTGCCATATCAGTGGGTGACTTACCGGTGCGCCTGAGCTCGTCCAGTACCGACTTACAGATGGCTTTCTTGTAAGTCAGTACTGCTGGCAGCAGGTTGGTGAACCTCTTGGGGAGCTTTTCCAGCCAGGATGGGTTGTCGGCATACCACCTCTTCCGGCAGACTTTGCAGCAGAGCCTTGAAGACAGCAAGTAGTACTGTCCGGTGATGCCGACAATCACACGAGGCCTACCAACACCAGCAGAGGCAATTTGAGGCTGAGCACAGCCGTCAATACACGGCAGAGTGTAGTTGTTCCTCAGCCGTCCCATCAAATTGTCATTTTCTGGCTTCCAGATGAAAAAGGGATGGAGCTGAAAATACTTGGCGCAGGGAAGATCATCAACACTGTCAATCAGCTCTGGCTGGGGAGGGCGACGCCACAATGACACCATCTTCAGAGGGTTGCGTACAGGAACGGAGCCTGGCCAGAGCCCCATGGATTCCAGCTCCGTCTTCATCCAGGTCCTCTGCTGAGGCGAACAGTTCCACTGACTGACATCCTGGTTGTAGGCAGGAGGAGGAGGAGGAGGAGGAGGAGGAGGAGGAGGAGGAGGAGGAGGAGGAGGAGGAGGACAACAGCTGGGGACCGTTGATGGCCTGGGTAATGGCTGACCTAGGCAGACAATAAATAAAAACACATGGCAAATAATTACGATATTGTGTGTGTGTGTGTGTGAGATTTTGTGAAAAATGATTTCTAGCAAGTACACATCCAAATGAGAAACATTCAAACACTTGAAGGTGCCTCAAAAATGTGATGTATTGTTATTATTACTCACTTTGTGTTGGTGCAGCTGGTGGATGCAGTGTCGGTTGACAGGGCTCTGCAGAAATCTCAGGAGCCACTATAGAAAATATTAAAACATGTCATTATTATCAACAGTAAAATAAAGAAATAATGTTGTATGACGCTTAGCATCTTCACTGTAGTCAGCAAACTGTACAAGGTGCAAAGAGTCAAACATATACACACCTGGAACAGTGATGTTGGTCTCTGTTGGTGTTGGGGCGGATGGTTCCGGCATCAGAAACATCAGCTCCTTTGGTAGGGGCACAAGTCTCTTTACAGGAAGAGCAGGGGCTGCATGGAGGGATAGCCAAAAGATTTTTGCATTTTATCTGTCAAGAAGAAAATATATATCAGTGAGTTAATGATGTTCACAGGTGGGGTCTAATAGAGAGCAGACTTTAACTGTCTGCACATTCACATTGTGCTATGATATATGTAGTGCTATTTTACTTTGGATCAGATATTGTTGATCTTTGTTCCTGTATGTCTGGAGCTGTGTGTTTGTTGAAACTATTTACACTTCCATTACCCCTCCCCCATGGGTCAAACCCTTTTAACTAACAAAGGGAGCTCAGCCAAGGCTGAATGATATATTAGATAAATAATTACTAAGTAGTAGATGAATGTTATGGATGTGGTTTCAACAGTTCTGGTGTTTAGCAGTGTGTGTGTGTGTGTGTGTGTCTGCATCTATTATGTATATTTAACCCCGTCTGGGCAACGGCACAGCTGAATATACATAATACTTTTTTATCCAAAAGTAAACTGCTGTTAACTTGTCCCCACGCTGTGTTTTGTAACAGTGATGGGTTAGTATATCTAACCCCGGTTTATTGGAAAATAATACGGGAGTTAATGGTAATCTTACATGGTAGTTAGCGTTAATTTATATATTTAAATATACATTAATGTAAACGCGCACGGAGGATTTCGCCACAAGTAACTCGCGGTAATTGCGCCTCACCAAGTCAACAAAAACACAATAAACTCACACAGAAATCCTACCACATGAACTTTAAGCGGCTTAAGTTGAATTAACTTTACATTAACAATGTAATTCATCCCAAAGTACCGTTAGACTCGATACACGTAGGAAACACGGACCACTTTATAGCGTATTTTATTTTATATTTAAACTAAAACACGTCAGACAAAGCCCAGATAACATAACATTACATGTCGCTTCTCTGTTAATTCATGTTAATATAACTTAACTTACCTTATAATTTGGTCGTAATGTCCAGAGTTGAAAAATATGTATGCATTTACGTCGCTGTGAAGGCGGGGGGATGAGCAGACAGGGTCTCACTGGCAAAAGTGCGCCACAGCGCCACTCGCGGCAGCGGCCAAATATATATGACATCGGCTCTGGTTCAACAGTGCCATAGAGACTGGTTTGTTGCTACCATTAAAGATTCATGAAAGAATCCCTGGCCGCCGCGCGCGAGACCGGGGTTCAATTCCCCGTCGGGGAGGAAACATTTATTGTTTTTGCGAAATTAAGAAGTAAATAAAAGGAAAGAAAATAGAGTAGGGTAGGAAAACCGCAATAGAGATCAGTAAGGCAAATGCAATAGAGAACTGAAAAGAACACCAAGTGTCATAGTACAATTTTGGTGAAGAAACAAATAACAGTTCCACAAAGAAAGTTTACGTTTTTAAAGAAACCCAGTGGACTTTGGTTAATAAACGCAGTAATGGCAATTTTAATGTTCCAATGTCCAATATTCCGGTTGCCATTATATACAGGTGAGGTTAAGAGTGATCATACGCAGACACATAACAGATGATTTCCATTCTTGAATGCAGTTTGGTTTGTTGTTTATTGAGCGTTTGTACAATACCAGAGCTGAATGAGTAGATGAATGTTTGGAGTTGTGAGCATCTGCCGCGTCTGGTTGATTCGGTGTGCTCTTCCTCCTCCTGTCCTGTCCCTCTCAGCTCACCATGACCCTATTTATTCACCTTCACCCTGTGCAGTAAACCCTGCCACCAAGTGGTCAAATATAATATGGCAAGATAAATCTAAACAAAATAAACTGACATGCCAACAACACACATAAATGGCTCCTATAAATGGTGGCTAACGCAGTTGAGTACAGTACTGGAAACTGTTTTGGTGTCTACTAAGTATTACAACATATTTTCTCCTTTGAACCCTGATGATGTCGCTGTGTAAGGTGATGCATGTTTACGAGTTCCTGCCGTCCCCCAGAAAGACAGAGCTGTGTCATTATTACCTATTATACAGCTATACTGTGTTCTGCCATAATACATATATTATATTATATGTATATATACAGTATATTAATGAATAATCTCCATACATTTTTTCTCCCTACTGCAGTTTTTTGGTTACACAATCACGTTACTGCTGCAGGAGCAAACAGCTCTCACTAGCAGCCAAATATATATTACATCCGTAGTGATTTAGCACTACCATAGAGAATGAATGGGAAAGTGTTTAGGGAGTTTTAGCTAAAGGATCCCCGGGTGCCGAAATAGCACCACTGTCGACTGCTCCCTTCTGGACAAAAAGTGTACTGCACCACCATTTATTATCCCTTCCTCGATAGTATAGTGGTCAGTATCCCCGCCTGTCACGCGGGAGACCGGGGTTCAATTCCCCGTCGGGGAGGAAACATTTATTGTTTTTGCAAAAATTAAGTATGAATGAAAGGGGAAGCAGCAGAGTAGGTTAATAAAATACAATATCTGTAAAGAAACAGTGGAATATGGTGAGAGAAACGCAAAAGAGTTGTGTTAAGAAACAGTAATAGGGCAAAGAGACGTATAGTACAGTTTGGTGAAGAAACAAATAACAGTTCCAAAAAGGAAGCCAGTGAAATTTGGTGAATAAACGCAGTTAAGAACGATGAGTTACAGTTCGGTGACTAACGCAGTAGAGTACAGAATAAAGAATCGTGACCTATACTCAAAACTGTTTTGGTGTCAACAAAATATCACAACATATTCTCTCCTTTGTATCCCGCCCAGGCACAATACTGATGATGTCGCTGTGTGAGGTGGTGCATGTTTACGAGTTCCTGCCGTCCCGCAGAAAGACAGAGCTGTGCCATTACTACCAGCGTTTCTATGACGCCGCCTGCACACTGGGCGCATATCACCCTCTACTGTACGAGAAGAATCTGGTCAAACGGATGAACCAGGGGTCAGACCACGACATCTACACCCATGGACGTGTCTCGCTGCCTGGGTTCAGACAGCTGAACTGTACCCACACTGCCGGAGTAAACAACCACTGACTTGAAAATACACAAGGAAAGCACACATAAACACAAACATATGAAGCAAAGCAGATACCTGCATGTAAACATGAGGACAGACGCATGAACATTTCATTCTCACTGCCAAAACAAAAGGAACGCTGTGCCACTCACTATAAATATGACATGTAACATCAGGCTGCAAACACGTGACACACACACACAGTCCAATTAACTAATAGATGTGCCTGCTGTTCATACATACATACATACATACATACATACATGACCTATAGAGGACGTTTTATTGATAAACCCTGTTCATCCCTGAATATACAACCCTTACAAAAGGAGCATATCGCTGTTTTAACCATGTATGTAAAAATCATGTATTTTAATGTTAATATTTTGTGTTTTCCATACGGTACTAGCAGGTTTTTGATGTCTTCCAGAAAAACAATCAACACCTACATACTGACAACATTTATACAAGCTATACTTCCAACAACTACTGACAAGAAGCATGATATAAATATATATCGATGTATCTAAATAAATGCTCCAAAAGGTCAAATCACCCAAAAGACATGTGGTATGCTTTGGAAACAGAACATCATTATTATGATGTTTAATGTGCAGTTTATTGGAATGAAACATGTTAACATCAGCACTATGGTTGTTTTATCTAATCTCATCGTCGTCCTAAGCCAACCAAAGTCTTAAACTGACCTGCTGAAGAAGTTAAGAAATTATCCAAATTGATCTCATTACTCAAACTAACAAAACAACAACAACCAGGCCTTAACTCAATGTAAATATTGTATTTACATATTTTAAACCGAATCACAAAAGCTAATTTCCTTTTGAATGTTATTTCACTTAAAGCACGACTTTCCTGAAAGCAGCTGTGGAGTAATTATGTTTTTTCATTGTTTGTTGGTAGAGTCTAGATCGGTTTTTGTATCTGTTTTTCACCACTTCCCTAACATCTGATGATACTGAGGAAAGAGCTGATTCAGTTCTGTTACTCAGCTCAGTTTGAATTTAGTCTTAGTACAATCATAGGGCACTTTCTTATGAATGCCACATAAAACTTTGCTCTGGTTTCAGACATGTCTCCTGTAGCTAGGATTTCAGTTTGGGGAATTTGTTAAGGCTCTATTTTCAGGGCTTGAACTCCCTTTTTAAAACAGCAAAACATCTTGGCTTGAAGTCAGCGGTTTTATCCAAGTGTGATTGTGTTTTTTCCTCATACTTTAATCGCTGTAATGAGTTGTGAGTCACAGTAGGAGTACGCCAACGCCAGTCGAATTAGAAAATGTATCTTCTTCTCGCCCAAATACGTTGGGAATGAGTGGATAAAACGTATAACGCCAGCTTGCTGTTTGTTTGAAACTCAAATACGGTACCTAAATGACTTGAAAGCATGGTTCTCAGCAACTAATAAGATATAACAGGTATTACAAGTCTTACATGTACCTGATATGTTTGGTTGTGAAGGACCGAGAAGAGTAGAAATGTTTCTACTTTAAGGTGATAGTGTGAACAAAGATATTTACAGAAATGTCCTGGAAACACTTGCGTTGTGTTATTGTGGACATGGTCAGAGAGGGAACACAAATCAAAACAGGAAGTAAACGGCCTTAGAACGAAATATAATCTATTAGATTTATACACAATATACAGTAAACATATGGAGGTTGTTGCCCAAGTGAATCAACGTCCACATGAAGCTCAAATTATCTCCTAAAAACATACAACATGTGAATCAGACATCTATCTAGTTGCCTGACATATTTTTCTTCTCCTGCTAGTCTTTTTTTGCTAAAACACACAGACTGTTCTGGATCAACATAGATGATCTCTGATGAATGTCTCGACATGAAACACAAACACACAAACCTCACTAAATCTATTTGTTGAAGAGAATAATGCCTGCCTGATTTAACTTCACTTATCCAAGAATCCAGTTTTTAAAAAATGAAGTCAAACTAATGTTTTGTACCCACATTGTCAAACCTGTAGTTTTCTTATAATTCTTATATAGTGTATATAGTATAGCATTAATACCCAGGAGGACGGTCTTCAATGTGATTCTGTTACACAGCCATATAAAGCAGAGTTTTATTAATATAAATATTCATAAACTATTAGACAATTCATATATATATATATATATATATATATATATATACATACATACACGTTCCTTCTGGTTGTTGGTAACTTCTTATATATATATTTTTTAAATGGTCTGAGTTAAGGGAGAATTCATTTAATATCATGCCGCTTCAGACCTTCGATATCAAAGATCTGTTTAATTGATCTTGCAAAACTTGTCAAAATAACCTTGCAGCTAAAGCTAGTTACAGTAGCTAGCCTGTTGACTTTAAAAGGCAGAGAGCGCCACAGTTTAAACAATTATTAGAAAAGGAACTAATGTGCGCCACAGCTTTGAGTAGAATATGTTTTTTGCTGTTCATTTTCCCAACTCTGTGTCCGTAGATGCTTCCAGAACTACAACTCTTTTAACACACCTGCATCAATGTTGTGTTTTCAGTATTAATCGCAGTAGAAAATAGCCTCAAGGGTATTTTGACTTTTTGTTCAGCATGTAAATAAAAGATTCTCCAGAGTAGTGAAGCAACAAGAAGAACTCTATACACCTCTGATAAACAGAGAATTATCCAGAGAATTATCCGCATGGCAAGAATCCTGCTTTTTATCCCATTATTTTCCTTTACTAAACGTAATGTGAAACCTGCGTATTGATATTAGCATTACTACATGCGAACCAGCTCATTAGCATGCACACAAACACAATGAGCCTGGACTGTACAGGGTGAGTGTGATGCTCCTTAATTGTTATATGTGTCTAAAATATTAGATTTTTTATAACAAATGAATCACTTTACGGCATACAAATAGTAAATCAAACATCAACATTTTACAATATTTAAAGATGGACTAGTCCCAAGTTTATCACATGTCAAAAGATGTTTGGTCATTTGATTAATTTATGAAAGATGTGCACCACTGAAGTGTCTTACACTGTTCAGTAAAGGGAGACACTGTACACTGTTATTATTGATCTGTTGTTGTGTGAGTTAATGGATCCTTCATTTTATTAATCCTTTCTACATTAAAACCACTTGTTTGCTATGCACTGTCTGCTCACACTGAACGTAAACATAAAATGTTGACAACAAAAAGATAAAAAGGCAGCTTTGTGTGATTCTACTGATTATGAACCAAAGTAGTAAAAGACAAATATTGAGCCGTAGAAAGCTTCAAATACGTGATAATTTACGACTGAATTTCTGTGAAAATCTGCAAGAAATTGCTATTTATTTCTTGTTTCCATCCACTACTGTAATGTGGGATACAGTTCCACAGTTGGTGGGGAAAATTCTCCAGTCAGTGCCATAAAGAACCGAAAAGGGGGGAAATTATTCATTGTACTTTGTTCAGTTGTGGTTTTGTGGATAAACTCACTTTTTTACTTTAGCCAAGCACAAAAACCTTAGATTTTTTAAATAGAAATTCACATTTTCATCAAGGTTTTTGGATTGACAATGTGAAAAAAATGCACACAGGTGGATGAGATTGAAACTACGACTGCTTCAGCCGTTTAATTTGTTTTCATTCATACGCATATCTTAACAGCTATATTTTACTCTACAGACATTATAATCTTATAATCAGGTCAATATCGCCAATGTTTTAAGTTTCATCATGAACGGCTCCGCTAATGTTTTTCTAATAACTTCAGTTTGATGTTCTTACTTTATTGTTTATTCGGGAGGCTAACACTTGAATAATTAAGAACTTTTTCTCCCTATGCAGTTCTATTGTTGTTCCAACTCCTGCTCATTTAATTTGTGTGAAACCTTTTTATTTAAGCTTACAGATATGTGTCTGCTTTGCCTTCATCCTCTTGCTTTCTTAAAAGAGGGTTAGGGTTAGTTAAGCTGTTAACTTTGGTTGATTGTATTTGTTATTTCCTTAGTTTCTTCGTCCTCTTCTCCTGGAGTCTTGTCACTTGATCTACCCACTTCTATAAGCATGTTGCTTTTTCTTAAGTTCAGTTTTCTTTACATTTTTAAGAAACATCAGTAACTATGTGTTAATGACAAATGTACAGTTTGCTTTCCTCAAGGACAAGAAATAGCTCATTGACTATTTGATAGATTTTAACTAAATCTGGGTTACAGATGCTCACTTCAATTCACACAGGCTTAGAAACACAATTACTTTTCTGTTTATATATCAGTATGTTTCCAACACAGCATGTTAAATTACATTTCTGTTTTAAAATATTGTGATTAATATTAATATTATTGTTGTTTTTCAAGGATTCAGTGAACTGACTACATTGTGTTTTGTTGATGATTTTATGTGTCATGTCAGCCATTCTGTCTGTATGTGAGCAGGAGGTTGAGACGATCACATGTCTGGATGTTGGGAAGAAGTACATTTATGTATTTGTAACTCATCAATCAATAAATACCTGACAACTGAAAGGCTCTTGAAATAATTATTGAATATAGAGGGTGTGGTGACTACCCGCATGGATTGAAAATGTGACTTTTAGTTAGACGCGTGCACTCTCAAATTACGACCACAACATTATTGCTATTAATACCATTTATTTAAACCAAAAACAGAGTGTTTTTGCAAACTGTTTGCTCACACAGCCTCTATCACCCGCACCTGTGCTGGTGAGGCCACCTGAATACCATGTGCCCCATTGCGCCATCTACTGCTCCAAACAAACAACAAAAACAAACAAATGGGCACAACAGAGGGAATTTAAAGAAGAGAAAATACGGAAGAACTTCATGTTTAAAGTAGTATTTTTCAAGTAATTAAGCTTTTCAGTAGTATTGGCCACATTTGGTTGTCTACAACATATCCTAAAAATACAAAAGAAAATTTAGATTTTATAATACTACAATTACTTTAATGGACATGATTGTCCTGCTTTAGAGTTACATTAATATTAAGTATATCTTTTATAATTAGTACTGATGCATTAACATGTAAGCAGCATTTCGCTTTTGTAACTGGTGGAGTTAAAGACGTTTACCGACTTCATAAAATGTTGGGTGGTTATATCCAGAATAATACATTTTCAATTACAAAATGGCTGTATGTTTTGTCTGTAATATGTTTATCTAAAGTAACTGGTAACTTTTGTTTTCAGATAAACGTCAAGAATGAAAAGTATGATGTGTAATACAAATGACAGTGGAGTGTTAACCAGTAGAAAATGAGAGTAGAGTGTTATTCAATACTTGAGTAAATATAAGTAGTCAAATTAAGCAGAATAAAGACATGTGTGTGACAAAAAACATTTCAATCAATCAATCAAAATGTATTTATAGCCCAATATCACACATTTTACTTTTGTCTTACTGGACTTTAGAGTTTGTACAGAATATGAATACGCCACTTCTACAGTTTTTATCCAATTCGAGTACCATCATAAGATGTTGAGGATCAAAATATATGCTCTTTTTTGTCTACATCGTACACCCTCGCTATGGAGGCGAAAAAAAGCACATTTGGCCCAGGCCAAAACACAAGAAGTTGCTGTAACACGCCCATATATATACTCCTATCACGTTTATAACAGTTATTACATTTCTTCAAGTCGCTATTAACAAGAATATGATTGATACGCCAATAAAATTGATACGCCAATTGAAACTAATGTGAAACTAACGGCTAACGGACAAGCTAACCTTAACATTAGCTAACGAGCTAACGTTAACTAAAGCTAACCAACCAATGTGCTAATTAATGTTACCATAATAACACGATAGCTACACGACACCTGTCACAACTTCCTTTGTCTAATGTTAGCTAGCTAATGGCAGAGAGTGAATGCACAAAAGTCAGACATGAAATATACTCACTGTTAAGTTGATATGATTGCCTCATGACTGTAAAAGCTGTTTCTTGGTACATGTCATGACGGCTCACGAAACTGCAGCTCAATAGTTTTAGCGCCCAGCTAACGCCCATCGTCACGGCCAGGTGTTGCCAGATACGATTTACAGATAGTCACAATTTAAAACCTGCCCAAATCATAACGTTGACAGATACCAACGCAAAACTGTAATAGTAAACCATTGCATATATACAACTCATACATGTATATATTTTTAAAATAAGATAACTCGTAAACGACGCTATTTTTAGTAGCCCAAACGGGTAGAAACAAGCCAAATCTGGCAACGCAACGCCGGGTACAACCAGCCTCATGTGCATTGGATTAAACTACAATAAATAGTATTAATTCAAGTGAACGCCGAATGCTAAATACAGAACAACTACCGTATCATTCATTCCGTTACAAAATAAGTGTGTCAACCCGGTTTCGAACTAGATACTGTTAATAAATGACAAACTCCAATACAGATATTGATAAAAGATTCAAGATTCAAGGCTTTTATTGTCATTCGTACATAGCTACAGTGTAGTTATGTCGAGGAAAATCTTAGGTTCCAGGCTCCTCCAACAGTGCAATACAATAAAACTGATAAAATAGTGCAAGTTAGGGTTATAGAGAGGTGAACATGCATGAATAGGACACGCTATGCGCCCACAGGGATTAAAAAACCTCGGGGCAAGAGCCACATGAAAATAAACTAAATAAATAGATTATTCAAATAAAGTTTAAATGAAAGGTAGACATAGGCTTATTTTAGATGGAAAAATTAGTGATTGTTGCAGAACATATATTGTATTTAGACTTAGACATGAGTAGCTATGCTTTTAGAAACAATGATAACATTCTGTGAGCATTATTATATATGGTAGGCTACTTACTGTATTGCTATGCAGCTTTTTTATTTATTTGTATTCATCTATTCAATTGTGATACATGAACAGCATACATTTGACAAACAACAGACAAAGTCCAGGGGCAGACATACCCAACAAGACATTAAATAAAGAAAAAAGAAACAAAGGAAAGAAAAATACATTTTGACACTTCAGATTAAATATTTTTTAAATATTAAATTAGTTTTGATTGCATTCTTATTCCTAATGTTTTGAATAGTGCTAATATATTGTTGAAATTCTTGATAAAAATGTACAAAATGTGGTTTGGAGTCAGCCCATTTCTTTTTATG